GGTTGCGTGTGGAGCGCTTACCTGGGGCAGCTCCTGTTTGGTGCGAGGGGTTCAGATGGGAATGCAGGGGGTGCAGGAGCTCACGTTTGGTGCTCAGGATGGGGGTGAGGATGTGGGGGGGTTCAGGAGTCAGGGCATGGGGCGTGGGGGGGGCTGGGTATGTGTGGGGGTGCAGGAGTCAGGGCAGGGGGCTGGGTGTGTGTGAGGGGGTGCAGGGGGCTGGGTGTGTGGGGGGGTGCAGGAGTCAGGGCAGGGGGCTGGGGAGGTGTGAGGGGAGTGCAGGGGTCAGGGCAGGGAGCTGGGTGTGTGTGTGTGGGGGGGTGCAGGGGTCAGGGTGGGCAGAGGGCTGTGGGTGTGGACTGGGGTCATGGGGGTGCTCACGGCAGGGGGCTGGAGGGGGTATGCCCCGATTCCAGCCCCTTCCCCAAGGCCCCGCCCCTGCCTCTTCTCCTCCTCTCCCCGGAGCAGCGAGCGTGCTGCGGCTCCGCTCCTCCTCCTCCCGGCAAGCAGCTGATCCAGCTGATCGGCAGCAGGGAGGGGGGAGGGAACATAGCACGCTGGGGATAGAGGCTGGGGAGGAGCTTGGCTGCCGGCAGAGCCTGCCCTGCTGCAGCAGGAGCCAGCAGCACTAAGCTTCTGCCCCCACGGGGTGGGGGGGCGGAACAGAGCAGGCCAGGGCCCCTTTGGACCGTGGGCCTGGTGCCAGTGGCACCATGGTAAATCTGGTACGGGGGGGAAGCAGACGGGCTTCCACTCCAAGCCCAACAGATATGTCTGCTTCTGACTCCTGGGCTCAGGCCCCTCTGATCCCCAGTGGGAGCGGCAGGTGGAGGTCAGTGGGGAGACATTCACGGAGTGAAGCGATTCTGGGACGAGACTCTTGTGGGTGTGATGCAACCTCACCAGCTGCTGAGGGGCTGTGTAACTTGGGGGAAGGCTCCCAGAGGCAGCCATTCACCCGGGGTTCCTGTGCAGACATAGGAAGGACCGGGGTGCAGGGCTCTTAGCTGGGGTCCTTCAGCACATCAGCTTCAATGTATTCTTGGGAAGTGACTGTGTCTCTTTAAGACAGGATCCAGACCCTGTGCCAGTAACGGCCAAAGAGCTGAACCCAGAGATCGGAAGGTGGAGAGGGCAGGAGCCAGCGAGCATGTGAATGGCCCATAAATGGCCCGGCCGGCAGGGAGGGGGGACTTTCCCCCCCCCCCCCCCCCCGGTTAGTAGCACAAGGGAGGAACTGGGAAGCTCTGGTTTCCAGCCTGTCTGTAGCCAGCCCCTGGAGCTGAATGGGACAACAGCCCTGCACAGGGGAGAGGTGGCTCACACTGACTCTGATGCCGCAACCAAAGCAGTGGGCTCGCTCCCTACCCTCACTGGGACACAGGTGCTGGGGATGATCGGACCCCAGTTAAGGTTCTGTAACGAGAACACATCTGAATGGGGGCCCCAAAGAGGTTGGGTTGCAGGGTCAGCTACCTGCAGAGGTGCTGATGGGGGACGGATGAAGAACTGGCCAGATGGTGCCCTGGTCCTTGCCTGTGGCTGAGGTCAGGGAGGGCCACTTGGCCTGGCACTGGAAATCCACCCAGCAGGGGGGCGTGGAACCTCCAATGGGGGGAAGTGAGTTGCCAGGGACAGGGCTTAACAGGGCTGAGACCAAGGCCTTGTCCTGAGGTGGAAAAACTAAGGCACAGCAATGAGGGCTGGGCCCCGAACCCAGCAGCTGAATTCTAGACCTAGCCGCAGAAGGGTCCCTCCTGGAAGAAGCGGGGGCCTAGTGTTGCAATATTCTGGGAAAGGATCCAGGTGAGAGAAGGGACCCGGTACCAGAAATGGGCTCCCTGAGGGAAAACTGAACTTGGGGGATCAGAGGGTGTCAGGTGGTCCCTCAGAAGTACCACCGGGGGGGTGTCCCATCTTCTAAACATCAGGGGCTTCAGCGCATCCAGCGAGAGCTGCTGCAGAACATTTACTGCCCTGGAAATGCACAGGAGTCCACCCTCTTGAGTTGGTGTATGGAAGGAGAAGGAGCGGACCCCTGGACTTGATGAGAAACAAATGGGGAATCAGTGGTGGATTCTGAACTATCGTTCGGAGCTCATGGGCTTGGCCAGGGGAAACCTAGCCAGGGCACAGAGGAAGCAGAAGGTCTGGTACGACTGCTCAGCACGTGCCTGCTCCTATGCTACTGGGGACCAGGTGATGCTTCTCATCCCCGTGAGGAAGAACAAGCTGCAAGCTGCTTGGGACGCCCCTTCAAGGTCATCAGACAGGCAAACAAGGTGAACTATGTAGTGGAACTGTCCAACCGGGCACACAGCCACTGGGTGTACCATGTCAACATGATGAAGCCATACTGGGAAGGGAGAAGTTGGTGCTGGCTGTGTGTGGGCAGTGGGAGGAGAAGGGAGAGGATCCCCTGGTGGGACTCCTCCCTGAGGTGGGGGCTGACCCCTCGCTGGAATCAATTCCCCTCTCAGACCAGCTAACCCCTGCCCAGCAGGCAGAGATCAGAAAGGTGCTACATTCATACTAGCAGCTGTTCTCTAACCGGCCTGGGTTCACTAACTTGGCTGTTCAGTAGGTGGAGACGGGAGCCAGCCCTCCCATCTGGTGTTCCCTGTGATGTTATTGACAAACTTCAAAGAACTTCAAAAAGATCTCACAAAACTAAGTGATTGGGCAACAAAATGGCAAATGAAATTTAATGTGGATAAATGTAAAGTAATGCACATTGGAAAAAATAACCCCAACTATACATACAATATGATGGGAGCTAATTTAGGAAAGAGATCTTGGAGTCATCGTGGATAGTTCTCTGACGACGTCCACGCAGTGTGCAGCGGCAATCAAAAAAGCAAACAGGATGTTAGGAATCATTCAAAAAGGGTTAGAGAATAAGACGGAGAATATCTTATTGCCCTTATATAAATCCATGGTACTCCCACATCTTGAATACTGCGTACAGATGTGGTCTCCTCATCTCAAAAAAGAAATACTGGTATTAGAAAAGGTTCAGAGAAGGGCAACTAAAATGATTAGGGGTTTGGAACAGGTCCCATATGAGGAGAGATTAAAGAGGCTAGGACTTTTCAGCTTGGAAAAGAGGAGACTAAGGGGGGGATATGACAGAGGTATATAAAATCATGAGTGGTGTGGAGAAAGTGAATAAGGAAAAGTTATTTACGTGTTCCCATAGTATAAGAATTAGGGGCCACCAAATTAAATTAATGGGCAGCAGGTTTAAAACAAATAAAAGGAAGTTCTTCACACAGCGCACAGTCAACCTGTGGAACTCCTTGCCTGAGGAGGTTGTGAAGGCTAGGACTATAACAGGGTTTAAAAGAGAACTAGATAAATTCATGGAGGTTAAGTCCATTAATGGCTACTAGCCAGGATGGGTAAGGAATGGTGTCCCTAGCCTCTGTCTGTCAGAGGGTGAAGATGGATGGTAGGAGAGCAATCACTTGATCATTACCTGTTAGGTTCACTCCCTCTGGGACACCTGGCATTGGTCACTGTCGGTAGACAGGATACTGGGCTGGATGGACCTTTGGTCTGACCCAGTATGGCCATTCTTATGTTCTTAACTGTGACCGTATATATCATTGTTGCAACCAAGTGTGGTGTCTATGGGAAGGTTGTAGTTTGCTGGTTATGATTATGCTGTCTGTATCATTTTTGTATTCAAAGTTATGAATATTGGCTATGTACTTGTTTGATTCTAAGTAGCCTCAGTGAAGGATTTGGTCAGCTTCTTGAGAAAGGACTATTCTCAGTAAGTGCCCAATCAAGAAACACATAACTGACAATGGACTTTGGGAGATGCCAATCCACATCTGAGCTTTCCTGGAAACGTTCAAACTAACATGTAAACAATGGTGTCGGCCTGCAAAAAGCTTAATCATTCATAGACATGTGACTTGCCCAGGTGACTGCAAACTCCATCTTGTTGAGGGGATTTTACACAGGAGAACAAAGGGGTTTCCACCCACAAGAGAGACTATATAAGGCCCTGGAAACCCCTGCATTTTGTCTTCAACTGGCTCAAAAGATAGCCTCTCCACCCCAAAGAGATGCCTGAAAGAAACTGGAACAAAGGACAGTAACTACGGGGGTGTGAGTGATTGCTGGACCCAGACTAGGAAGGAGTCTAGTCTGTCAAAGAAGCTTATTGGAACATCTCTGAGGGTGAGATTTACCTGCATTTAGTTTCCTACTGTATTAGGCTTAGACTTGCGTGTTTTTGTTTCATTTTGCTTGGTAATTTACTTTGTTCTGTCTGTTATTACTTGGAACCACTTAAATCCTACTTTTTATATTTAATAAAATCACTTTTTGCTTATTAATTAACCCAGACCAAGTACTTAATTCCTGGGGGAGCAAACAGCTGTGCATATCTCTCTATCGGTGTTATAGAGGGCGAACAATTTATGAGTTTACCCTGTACAAGCTTTATACAGAGTAAAACAGATTTATTTGGGGTTTGGACCTCATTGGGAACTGGGTGTCCGGGTGCTAGAGACAGGAGCACTTCTTAAGCTGTTTTCAGTTAAGTCCGCAGCTTGTGGGGGACGTGGTTTAGACCTGGTCTGTGTTTGTAGCAGGCTAGTGTGTCTGGCTCAACAAGACAGGGTACTGAAGTCCCAAGCTGCCAGGAAAAACAGGCTCAGAGGTAGTCTCAGTACATCAGGTGGCAGTCCCAAGGGGATTTCTGTGACCCAACCTGTCACAGGCCCCATTCAGGGTCACTGGGAAAACAGCCCAGGACCTGGAGAGAGAGGTTGGAGACATGCTGGCTTTAGGGGTGATCCAGCTGTCCTCCAGCCCTTGGGCCTCGCCCGTGGTGCTGGTTCCCAAGAAGGACAGGTCGATCCGGTTCTGTGTGGATTATTGGAAGCTCAATGCCATCACCGTGTCCAATGCCTGCCCCATGCCTAGGACCAATGAGATCCGAGACAAGTTTGGGGGGGGGGGGGGGCGCCTGGTACTTCACTACCATGGATCTTACCAAAGGCTACTGGCAGGTGCCTTTGGACCCAGAAGGGCCGGCGAAGTCTGCCTTCACCACCCCAATAGGGCTCTTCGAGTTCCTGGTCCTGCCCTTCGGCCACAAGGAGGCATCTGCCACCTTCCAGCGCCTGGTGGATCAGTTACAAGGGGGGGTGGAGGACTTTGCACTGGCGTATATTGACGATATCTGTGTCTTTAGCCAGACCTGGGAAGAACATGTGTCCCAGATGAAGAGGGTGCTGGGTCGCCTCCAGGATGCCGGGTCGCCTCCAGGATGCCGGACTGTAAAGCTGGAAAGTGCAAGGTGGGGATGGCAGAGGTGTCATACCTGGGCTACAAGGTGGGGAGCGGCCACCTGAAGCTGGAGCCGGCCAAAGTGGAGGCAATCCAGGATTGGCCTGCTCCCCAGACTAAGAAGCAGGTCCAGGCTTTCATTGGGATGATGGGGTACTACCGGAGGTTTGTGCCCACTTTAGCTCCCTCGCAGCTCCCCTCGCGGAGCTTTGTAGGAAGGCAAAGCTAGACAAGGTGGTCTGGACCGAGCAGTGCCAGAGGGCTCTCTGTGCGCTAAAGGGGGCACTCATCCAAAGCCTGGTGCTGGTAATTCCGGATTTTAACAAACCCTTCCTGGTGTTCACCAATGCCTCAGACACGGGGCTGGGTGCGGTGCTGATGCAAACTGATAGTAAGCAGGACAGACACCCCATTGTGTACTTGAGCAAGAAGCTGCTGCCCCAGGAGGAGCACTGTCAAGGCTCCTTCCCCACTCTGAACTTTAGGGTACAGATGTGGGGGCCTGCATGAAAACTTCTAAGCTTAACTACCAGCTTAGATCTGGTCCGCTGCCACCACTCCCAATGTGCTAATTCCCTTCTCTGGGTAGCCTTGAGAGACTCTTCACCAATTCCCTGGTGAATACAGATCCAAACCCCTTGGATCTTAAAACAAGGAGAAATTAACCATCCCCCCTCCTTTCTCCCACCAACTCCTGGTGGATCAAGATCCAACCCCCTTGGATCTAAAAACAAGGAAAAATCAATCAGATTCTTAAAAAGAAGGCTTTTAATTAAAGAAAAAGGTAAAAATCATCTCTGTAAAATCAGGATGGAAAATAACTTTACAGGGTAATCAAACTTAAAGAGCCCAGAGGAACCCCCTCTAGCCTTAGGTTCAAAGTTACAGCAAACAGAGGTAAACACCCTAGTAAAAGGTACATTTACAAGTTGAGAAAACAAAGATAAAACTAACACGCCTTGCCTGGCTGTTTACTTACAAGTTTGAAATATGAGAGACTTGTTCAGAAAGATTTGGAGAGCATGGATTGATGTCTGGTCCCTCTTAGTCCCAAGAGCGAACTACCACCAAAACAAAGAGCACAAACAAAAACCTTCCCCCCACCAAGATTTGAAAGTATCTTATCCCCTTATTGGTCCTTTGGATCAGGTGTCAGCCAGGTTACCTGAGCTTCTTAACCCTTTACAGGTAAAAGGATTTTGGAGTCTCTGGCCAGGAGGGATTTTATAGTATTGTACAAAGGAGGGCTGTTACCCTTCCCTTTATAGTTATGACAAGCACTATGTGGCCGTAGAGAAGGAATGCCTGGCCATGGTGTGGGCCGTTAAAAAGCTGCAGCCATATCTATTTGGGCAGCGCTTCACTGTGTACACTGACCTTTCGCCCCTGACGTGGCAGCAGCAAATTAAAGGGGTTAATACCAAGCTGTGGAGATGGAGCCTGCTCCTCCAGGGTTATGACATGGATGTGGTCCATGTGAGGGGGAGTGCCAATGTTATAGCCGCTGCTTTGTCACAGGGCGGGGGCCGTGAACTTCTCCAGATCACTGGCTAAGTGACCCCGCTCAGTTCAGACTCGAAGGGAGGAGAGATGTGATGAAGTGGGGGGGTTTCTTGTTTTTTTCAATGGTTTGCATGCAGTGTGGGTGGGACGCAGTTTCTGTGGGTGTTACTGGTTTAATGAGATGATGGGAGAGGGAGTTTGTTGTTACAGAGGACCAGTGAGGGAACTTGGAACCCCAGCCAATGGCCTGGAGAATGGATACCCCAGCGACTGGTGACCGGGAGGCCCAGCTTGGGAGTCAAAGACAGTTCTGGCCAGTGGGAGGACAATGGGCTGCGAAGAGAGGACCCAGGTGACCGGACCAGCCGGTTCCAGCCAGAGGGGGACAGAGGACTGCTGAGAGGAGAGGAGGCCCAGGTGACCCTGTTTATCTGGATAGAAGACAATGGACAGAGGCTGGGCTTGGGGGAGGTGATAGATGCCCAGCTGGGAAGCAGGGGGGCTCTGGGCTGGAGAGAGAGAGCAGGCAGAGCCCACCTGGATGCAGGAGAGATTTAGATGTTCTGTGCTGAGGTAGGCCAGGCCTGAGGCCCTGAGAGTTTCCTATGCTGTGTTCAGACGCTCAATAAACCGTCCTGTTTTATGTTGGCTGACAGTCACTCCAGTCTAGAGATCAGGGTTGTATTATTCCCTCTGGGAGTGGAGGCCCCGGGGGTCCAGAGTGAGTGGACTCCCTGAGGGGGCCCACAGCGAGAGACAAATGTGCTAAGGTTCAGAGAGATGCGGTTCCAGAAGGTGGAGGGACTTAACCCCTGAGAGAGAGTGGACCCCCGAGAAGTGCTGTCACACTGAAGGGGGTTCCCCTCAGGGACCGCACGGGGCCAAGAGTGGGCACGACCTGTGAGTCCGTGACAGGGGGCAGCTGCCCCAGGTGTCAGCGACGCTACCTGAGTCTTGCCAGAGCAGGGGCGGGCAAACTTTTTGGCCTGAGGGCCGCATCGGGTTTAATAAATTGTATGGAGGGCCGGTTAGGGGAGTGGGTCATGGCCTGGGCCCCACCTCCTATCGCCCCTGCCCCCCCAGGACTCCTGTTCCATCCACCCACCCCTGCCCCATCCCCCCCCCCCCCGCTCCCCTGACTGCCCCCGGACTCCCCTTGCCCCATCCAACCACCCCTTCTCCCTGTCCCCTGCCGCCCCATCCAACCACCCCACACCTTCCTGACTGCCCCCCGGGGACCCCTGCCCCCATTCAACCCCCTGTTCCCCCCCCCCGACCACCCTCCACACCCCCGCCCCTGAGCACCACCCTGAACTCCCCGGCCCTCTATCCAACCCCCCCGCTCTGTGCCCCCTTACCGCGCTGCCTGGAGCACCGGTGGCTGGC